TTTGGTTTCGTGGGGGAAGGGCAAGAAGGCTAGAAGGGAAAAAAGGCAGAGGCACCTGCTAGGATGAGGTGTATTAATTGCAAGTAAAATCACTTTGAACTTCATTAAAAAGCAACTTAATCAAGTCAAGTCAAGTTGCGTCGAAGTTTTTGCTGCCACCTGAGATGCGAAGCCGCCGACCCGTGCACCGGCATTCTGCTGAATTGCCTAAAAATTATTAATTAGCCACACCCCCCCCTTATAACCTCCCCTTTAACCTTTCTTTCGGCTAGGAGGTATAAAAGAAGGTACCAGCTATGAGCTAAGGAGAACCGGTGCTAGCTCTTAAATATTTTATATTTAATTGCGCGCGTAAGCAGCACATTTATTGCTACAACCCCTCATTCTCTTTCATTTTTTCCATCCCCCTTGGGGGGCACTTACCTGGAATATATACCCCCTCTTCGGCAACCTCCACCCACCACCCCGTTGAAAATTGGCAACATTAATAAAATTAGACCCGTCTTGCCAGTGCCCCCGCCGCTGTTGTTCGTTTTACTTTGCTATTTTCCATTTACCATTTTTCACTAGATTTGTGCCCCCCAAGCCCCGTCGCTCCTTTGTTTCCATAAATGCCCTTTAAAATCTTATTAGCCACGCGCTGATCAAAGACTAGCATAAAGTCTTTAAGTGGCTGTGCCTGAGGCACAGGGGCAAAGTCCAAAAACCCAAATCCGAAACCAGCCAGGTGACGCCAGCAAACGACACTTTGATGAGGGTTTTGTCCTTGGTTCTCTTGTCCATTGAATTCGGTTGACTGATATTCAAGTGGTTCTTCGAAAGGTTTTCGGTTGCTAACATATTCTGAAGGCGTTATAATGGCAAAACAATTATGCATCTTCGATGGGGGAAAAGGTGCTAGAAATCGTAAGGTTGTTGGTGATTTTTGAAGATTTTTGAATATGCAAAATGGGTTTGAGATGCCCTTAGAATATCTAACTTGGTTTTCTTTTTAGTTTATCTATGCTGCTGGTCCTTAAAAAAGTTTATTAAGCCAAAAACTTTTCTCTGTTTGTGGTTTTCAAAGAATTTTTATAGATTTATTTTCCAAAAAGGAAAAAAAAAGCCACAAAATTCAAGAGGTTTTCATTAACATTTCTTGCTTCTGAAACACTCGGGGGGAAGTTCATTGAACGCACAGCTGGGCCACTTCATTAGGCCTTCAGTCTCTCGGTTAGGCCTAATCCAATTTTAATTGGTCACAGTGTGAAAAGCTGACCATGCCCAGTATCAGCATCAGCATCCGTATCCGCATCCGCATCCTCAACCCACATACACATCCGCATCCAAATTGAAGTCCGCACAGGGACAGAGCTCTTCACACCTACGCAAAGACTCCATTTTTGGTGGACTTCATAGCCAGCCTCCATGCTGTCACAGCATGTCAATTTCAATTTGACATTTATTTCATTGTGCGTATAGCAGGAGGGGAATATATCAGGGGGTGATGGGTTGGGTTGTGTGTGTGTGTGTGTGCGTAATAAGCCGCATTCGTTTATTTTAAAACCGCTTCAATTGTTGCACAGTAGTCGATGCGATTGAATACCCATTCGAGCCAGTCCGTTCGTCTGTGGGTGCGGTCAGCAATTTGATGTTGCGTATGCTGGCCGCGTACCGCCCCCCAACCTGTGAACCACCAAAGCCGCCCACTGATGAACGATGAATTCATATCACTGAGAAGAAAAGTGTTATGATAATTTGTTAAATATTTTATAGTTTTGTTTAAGGAAAGGGAGCCGCAGTTTGTTCTTTTTGCAGGAAAGGGAAACTAAAACCGTTTTAATCGATTTATAAAAATGGATCTTAATCCTTAAATAACGTGATTTTAGTTTAAATTAAAATCATAATTCTTTTTGAAAATATTAAGAGAGTCTCTATATTTATGCATTCTTTTTTCTTTCTGTGCCCAATGGGCAACATTTTGTGGTTTTCATTGCTGTTTTCGTTGTGGCAGAAATCCTTTTCCGCTGGACACGGAAGTGAGTGGGACCTGCGGGCAGAGGTGTGTGAGCCAAAAGGGGGGTGGAGTGCCAAGGGATTGAGAGAGAAGGAGGAGAGGGGTGTTGCACGCACGACTACATTGTCAAAGTTTTGTGTGTCATTATTGTGGCTGTTGGCGGTTGCTCTGTGCCTTCGTTACCCGCTTTTTCTCGCATTTTCCCCCCGCACTTTCCTTGCCTTTCTGCCAGCTTGCTCTCCTTGATGGTATGTCCCTCACCACCATCATGTTTGTTGTTGCGTTGGTTATTAAAAACTTTTACCGCTCGCAAAAGACCCGCCCACAGAGACCAGACACCCCAACCATTCGGCCAGCCATATACCGACCGCTGCAGTTGCTCGTTTTCGTTTTCATTGGGAATGTTAATTACTCCAGCGGCGGTGACAACTGCCAAAGCCAGGATCTGTTTTGGTCCAGGACCTGCAACTGAAGCTGCTGTCCGGCACTCCCACTTTTCATTGGCACTGCGGGAAAATTAAGGTGTAAAGGGGAAATATTTTAGAAAAATTTTCAAGGGTTTCAAGTTTGCTTAACAGACTTTTAAGAAAGATTCTCCTGTTTTTCAGTGATTTCTTATATCAGAAGTTTCAACTTTTTTCTTCACTGTAACCTCCTTTACTTTCATTTTTTCACTCAGTCTTTTCTCCCCCTTTTCTCTCTGGCTTATAATCAAACTTATTTACTTTATGTGACTTTTATGAGAATTAAGCTGCATGCGGTTCTAGTGGTTGGTGTTTTCGTTTATTCCGATCATGACGATGCTAATGACGCCGTGGATGAGTTGTGGACCACAAGACCCAGAGTTGGTTACCACGGGTACGGGACAGCAGTCCATTAATTAGATATATGCTTCCCAAGTGTCCGCAGCAGGGAGTTTTCTTTATGTAGAAAATACCAAAAAAAAAAATAAGCTTACTTTGGACATAAAAACTAGACTCAAATTTCATGTATTTTCCTAGCTAAACCGTGTGACTATCTAAGTAGAATTTATTTAAATCGATATCATATAGCTTTAATGAAAAACTTTTATTATAAACGATGATAAATATGCCAATATGACGCCAAGTCTTGCCTTGTAACTTTCAAGGTATGGTCATAAATTTGTGTCTGACAAGAAAGAAAAAAACCATCACGTAGGCCAGCTGGGATGTTAAAGATCTTTGTCCTGAGGCGAATATTATTTGCAGGGGGGGAAAACCAGAAAACATTTTGATATGTTGTGTCGAGCTGTCAGGAAAATTAGCGTTTAGGGGGAATCAAAAGTGAAGCCACGTGTTGCCTTTGTCGCGACTTTGTGGTGCACAGAAAGAAATTTGTATTTTAAAGTTATGATTTGTTTTTTTAACTGAAGGTAAAAAGTATGACGGTCGATAACTTTCGATAACAGTCGATAACTTTCGGCAACCTTCGATAATTATCGATAACAACTGATAACTAGTAAACATGTATCGATACGTGCATTGCATATATCGTTTGGTATCGATACGATATTTCGGCAATCTCTAGCATTTAGTATTTTATTTACAAGAATGAAAAGTAAATCAGGATTTTTCACATTTTCTTCCAGTGTAAAACTCGCAGACACACACGCACACACATATGACCATCTAGCACGTGTGAGCATGTGTGTGTGTGTGTGCCAGTGTGTAATTATAACAAGTTTTCTAGGCAATTTTTCTGGTTTCCTTCTCGTTTTTCGCCCCAGAATTTCGCTAGTTCCCTTTTCTATTTTCTTTATTTTCCCTTCTTTTTTTTTTTTTGGGCGCTTGGTTCTTCCAGTGCTGGGTATCTGAAGAGAGAGAGCAAGAAATAAGTTTTTGATAAGAAAGTTATGATGAGTTTTCTTCACTCGCACAAACACACAGGCAGCGAGGAAAAGATGGTAGCACATGTACACACAGCTGTTGATTTTGGCCAAATTAGTGCAAACACGTCTTGTTTTGAGTTGTGGCCCATGTGGAACATGTGCAACTAATTTGCAGTTATCAAGAGTTCACTCTTCGATGGGGACCGAATGGATGAGCTTGTATAGCAGCTACTGGTCAGAGGAATGGATATATATATATATATATAGCTGTTCATGTTTTGGCATTGATTTTTGAGGGGCAGCACCCAGTAAAAACTACTCTCACCTCACGACTAATTTACATTTCCGGTGTGGTGATGGTGGTGGCCACAAGAACACGTTGGATGGATGGATGGATAGATGGTTGGGGAGACTCGAAATTCGAATCCCCGCCGGCCTGTCTGCCGACCGTCAAAAGTTTATTTATTTGACACCGAAAAAGTTGACACAGACACCAGGCCGGGGGCGTGACTTTGTGCCTGAATCGGATTTATATGCCTGGGCAAAATTGGATTACAATTGAGTTGTAATTATGCGACAACAAAACGGTACGTCGTTCAAGGGGATCCAGATCCGTATTCGCATCCGCATCCAGATCCCCTTTTAGACTATTCGCCGCATGGGCTGGGCATTGCTTTCTGTTTTCCATGTTGTCGGCAATTTGAGTCCAAGAGTCCTGGGCGACGACGTCTTTTGAAATTTCGCATTTTGCATTAATTAAAACTGATTTAATTAAAGCTTGTCGTGTTGCTTTTAAGTATTCCAAGAACCTGGATGAGAGTAACAGTGCTGGTACATTCACGACCAGCATCCACTACCACCACCCAATATATCCCTCCATCCCCCCGGCAAAATGATGATTGGAGCGAGAGACCAAAGTGTTTTCGACTTGTCTCCAGTCCGCCTTCCACGCCAAAGATGTTTGTCGGCTTGGGAAAGGTGAAAGTTTAATTAAATATGCATCGAGCGTACAGAAGTATGTGTATTTAAAGGCTTAGGATTCACATAGGCATTGGAAATTTTCTTCAGTTTGTAAGGGAAAAGTATCAAGGAAGTTGGAAATTTGAAATCTTAGTACTCATAGTAACCTTTGAGTTATCTAGCTTTTGTCATAAGGTTCGGTCATTCGAAAACCCCCACTCGTTGCAGTCCCTTTCGATCGAAATTCTAGGCAAGCTAAAAAATATTTTCAAAAATCTAATTAAATTAAAAATTTGAAAAAAAAAAATAAGAAAATTCTGACAAAATCCAAAGATCAAAACAAATTTTTGGGGTGCAATCAAAATGAATCCCTTTCGACCACGTCATGCGACCAATCGTAATTATCAGCAGCTGCGTGATCATTTGATATTGAATCGATTGCCCAATGAAGTGGATGCCCAGATGGAACAATCAATGGTCCGAGCTCTGGAAAGACGTTTACGTGTCACCCAAATGCCGGGAAACCGTTTACGCCTCGATCATCAGCCGGATGTGGAGCGTTTCATGGTTAATTTGCGAATAGTGTTGCGACGACAGAGATCACTTATTAATCAAGGTGCCGGTGATGGTGGTTATTTATGGAATATTAGAGATCGCCCAATATACACTGGCAAGATGGGTGAGGGTGATGGTCTTGGTTATGATGATTTTAATCCGGCGGAGGCAGCACCACCAGCATTACCACCAACAGGCTAGGATAAATCCATGGATCATCTCATTATCACATCGCATATCCTGCTCTCCTGTGTGCGTGTGGTGTTTCTTTACTTTTTTTTCTTTTTTTTTTTTTTTTTTTTTGTTCCGAGCGTTGTTATCACAGAGAAGAAACCATAGGGCCAAAGAAGAGAGCCATAATCAGTTTAAAAAGCCACCCAAAAAAACAAAAAAAAAAAACCAAACCCACCAAGCGATATATTCCACATCCATATCCACCTGAACCAGACACCAGACACCAGAAACAGTATCCTGTTCAGACGCATGTTGTGCTATTATTATACATCCCCGCTGGGTTCGGGGCTGTTTTTATGCCATCTTCGTCCCCACCCGAGGGCCTTTGGAATCGGAGGACACGAATCGAGGCGCACGCATATAATAATTTCCTGTTCAATGAGCAATTACGGTAATAAAGATACAACTTGGCTACTCTATATATATATATATATATATATATTCTATAGAGAGATGGGGAAATCCGGATGACAATGGTGGTCAGTGTGTGTAAGGAACAGGGAGTGTGGGTAGTAGATTGTGATGACAACGATGAGGATGACGGTGATGATGACTGGTAGTCGTTTGTACTGCGACGGATAAAGCCCAGGCTCAAGTCTGATTCCTGTCTGTCGCATTTTCCATGGGGTTAATGGTGGGGGCGTGACGAACATACCAACGTGGATCGGAAAGTTGATTGAACTGCACTAGTTTACTTTTACTCTACCTCCCCCTTGCTATTCCCTCATTATGTCCATTGATTTTCTTGCTTTTTTTTTAACGAATTTAATTCACCCACAGATTGAAGCAGAAAAGTCTACTAAGTTTTCCCAATTTATCAGCATGGTTTCGATCTCTTCTAAAAATCAAACCAATAAAAACTTAATAAACTGATAGCGAAACCACCTTCTTTGATAAGATATAAGCCAAACATTTTGCTAGCAATCACATCTCATAAATAAATTGTGGAAAAGAAAGAGCTGCCATAGAATCAATCAATCTTATATTCATGAGATTTGAATATTCCCAACTACTAGATGTCGTGTTATCTTAGCCAGAAGTTTGCCCTGATGTTAACCTAATCTGGCTGCCAGTTGGCAGAGATTTTTGGGGCCTCTCAGTTTCGAGATTTGCATAATGAAAACGCAGCCATAGGAACAATTGGCTTGCAATGGGTATTTGACTTTCATTATGACTAGCTAGGTCTGGCAGATGTAGGACTTCTCAATTACCAGGACTCGAGAATGTATCAATTTTGGGAGAAGCCCTCCTTCATGTGTTCCCTTTTTTTTTTCTTTTGGGATGCTCGGCCATTAGCAGGCAACGTAAAGCTGTCAGACAGTCGGAAGCCCTTTTTCTTTCGGGTTGGTCTTTGTTTTGTTCATCGAGAGAACATTTATTGCTTTATGCGTTTAATGAAGTGTTGCCTGGGTTCGGTCGGAGGAGGCGCAATGGAGGCCAAAGGAGGCACTCAAAATCCAAGACCCTTGGGACCCAGACCCAGACCCAGACATCAACCCTTCGCTTTCACTTTTGGGCGGGGGGCTCCAAGACACAGAAAGCAGGCAGCATATCAAACATTTCTGACAGTCTATGACGTCTGGCGGAGGAGTGACTGACTCACTCACGGCCTAACTGACTGACTGACTGATTGAGTGACTGATTGATGGACCGTCGACTGACTGACTGCCTTGGTTGGTAACCAAGACCGGTGTCAGTCACTCACCCACGATGCTCGCATGTAATGCATAAAGAATGAAGCTTAAATAAAAGTTGGGAGATGAGAAATAGGATTAACTTGTCACACAATTGAATTTAATTTTCATACACAACGACGAACGAGGGCGAAGTAGGAAAAAGCATCTGGAGAACCCGTCCAGACATTGTCCCATGCCCATCACTTTGGCATTGGGGAATAAGGTATATACTACATGGACTCGACTCGATTCGATTCGGCTAGAGTCGAAAAATGCTTTTGTGGTAATCCCCTGCTGAAGCCGATTCGGGGGTTTTGTAATGAAATTACACGAGCCTCAGATTTGTCAAAGCAATCAATAGATCCGACCCGGATGTTGCAACCTTCGACTGAATGTGGACGGACTGTCATGCCATTGCCATTGCCATAGCCATCCTTGATGATGAGCCTTTGCCATTGAATGGCGAAGGTAGGAAAATAGCTAACAGGAAAAGTTACATGCGAGCAGTATTAGAGAGGTATTGAAAAGGTTTTGATCTGCCAAATGAATGAACTTTTTAGGCCTTCATACAAAGGAAAAGAATCCAAATTTTAAACACCTGAAGTTGAAGTTTTATAACTTGCTTACAAAGGCTGTAAAGAAGAGGAGGAGGAGGAGGCCAGAGGCGGGAGGGGTACGTAACTGGCCCAATCCAACTCGAAAAAGTTTCCTTTGACATTTTCCACCCCCCCGTCACTCCACTCTCTCACTCGCTTTTCATTATGCACATCATCCATCAATTAATTGACTGCACTCCATCGCCTCATTGCGTATGCCGCTCACATGCCGCTTGTATCTTTGATTAGCGAAAACAAAAGGCAAAAGAGTGACGGCGGCGGGAGTTCATTAACTGTCACACAAATGTGGCAAATGGCAATGGCAGGAGGATGCAAGTGGGGGTGGGTTGGGGTTGTGGTGGCACCCCATTCTATCCATCCATATGCTAGCACTCACCACTAACGCTGCCTTTTTTTTTTGGTCCGTTCAACTTAATTAAATAGCAACAGATTCGAGGGTGCGGAATCCTTTGGTCCTAGCAGTTAGCCAACAATCACAACCTCGCTCTCACCTACACACAGAAAAAAAGGGTGCTAAAGGTAGAAGATAAATATAGTTAGAGCTTAAATTGAATGATATTCCATTGGAAAAGTTATTAAAAATCAGAATTTATAGTGGGAAAGCCTTAGTTTCCTATCACAAAAATTAAAATATTAAAGAGAATGGGATGAAGTTTCTGTGTTTTAAGTTTTTCAAAGATTTATTGGCTTATAAAAACTTGTTTAATCCGCAGTTTTTGCCAACTTTAATGAACGGTTTTTTTATTAATAGCAATAAAAGTTGGCATATGGAAAATTGCAGAACCTCCTCTTCGTGATTTAACCACACGCAAATGTGCACTCCACCTCTGGGAGTATCCTTTCGTCCTTTGATTTTATTTTTTCGCGGTGCAGACCCTCTCAATACCGCGCCGCGGTGCACATAAAAGTTTCTAATCCATTTGCCCGATACTTATGCACGCCTGCACTCGGGGGATTAATAAGTGTGGCTGTTTGTAGTTGCCACCCCAGGTCGCATTTTGCCTTTGCCATGGCGAGCGAGTGAGCTGCTCTTCCATATAGATGTACATATATCCATCTTACCCAGGATCCGGATGGTTTGTTTCAACCACCGCCATCGTTCGACTTTCCAGCCAAATCAATTTCAACTGTCAACTGTCAATCAGGCCGCAATTCAATCACGCAACGTCCTCGGAGAGAGTATTCTGCAACGAAGACAAAATTTAAGAAGATTCCCAAAGAAAGTACACACTAACACACTAACAGACACACACCCCACATTTGCTTGAATTATTCAAAGGGATCGAAAATCGAATGGCCAAAGCTAACAAACCACACATGGCCTCTCTGTGTATATGTGTTATTAATGTTTTGACTCCCAAAGAAAGGAAAGGAAACGAGGAACGGGTGGGGGCATCATCGAGTCATGACCAAGAGTCACAAACATTTGTTCAAGAGATTTTTATGAATTACATCGAAATGGGTGGTGTTGCGGGGTGGGGTATACTGTGTGGGTGGTGAAGGGTACACAGATTTTTATTGGTATTATTGCCATTTACAACTCGGCACCCGTTACATTCCGTTTCGACCTTGCATATGCATTACTTACCCGGTGGGTAATACTGCTGGCCAAAACAACCCAAGCTGCTGCTGCTGCTGGAATCCCTGCTAAAATTTCGCAGTCAAGACACATGTCACGTATTTTTCTCGTAATTATGGCAAACGTGAGAAATTTCGTTAAGATTTTCTTAACACATTTTCTCGGGCAAACATATATATATAGTCGCTTATATATATATATTAAAATGTGTGTGCTTTTTTCTAGGGCTTTGGCATAATTTTAGGCATTTTCTCAGAGGGCTTTTTTGCCCCAGTCGTGCGGTACAGTCTTAACATGCTATAAAGTTAAGGCCCCATGAGAGATCTTTGTTTAATATTAACAAAAAAAAAAAACCAACCCACTAGCTTTTTAGTAAGACCCCATCAAAGGTATAAATGGCTATGAAGACAAGTTTTTAAATTTTAATTTGATAAATATTAATCCTATTTCGTGGCTGGAAGACTTAGCAACTGCTTCATTAATATGCTTATCAATTCCTGAACTTTGGCCACGAAATCCTTGATGAGCTGCCTCCTTGTCGACGATGTGGTTGCCGTCGTATTCAGGGATTGACTCGGCAAACTCCAGGCCACTGTTAGCATCACTACTTTGGGTAGAAGGGGTAAAAAGGTTGAAGTTTCTTCGGTTAGCTGGTAAAATTATAAAATAACTTACGGCCAAGCAGGGCAATGAACAATAATTTTTGGTCTGACATTGTTGAATACAGCGTACTGAGCTCTTTTCAGGGTTCGCAGCCAACATAAATAGTCCGATATTTGGTCCTACGTGAATTTTAGAGGCTCAACAGCTCACGTAGCTGAAGATTAATTTTGATTTTGGTTTTGCTTTATGTAAGACTTGAGCTTTTCATGGGCTTAGGCTAAGAGCAGGGGTTAGTTTTAAAGTTTCAAGCTTTTTCACGCTAAAACTAAAAGTCAGAAATGATCTTTGGTTTTAAACTTGCTAACTATAAATTCCTTTTAATACAAATTGATTTCTTGTTTGGGGGAGAGTTAAGTGAATAATTTTTGTTAAAAATAGAATTAGTTTGCAAAGAAAACAAAATATTTGTGACTATTTAATAACCATTGTGTAAATAGACTAAAAAGGGGTATAAAATTAGATTGACATTCCATTTAGTTGGGAATTCTTTCTAAATAATTAGATGTAAATCAGTTCTAAGCAAACTTACTAAGTCCCTAAACCAATAATTCTAGTTTTCACTTAACAAATTAATTTGCAGTATTCTTAGAATTGTCTGTGGAATATCTACAATCCATAAATGAGCAATATAACTACCCAACCCAGTTCCTTGAGGTTCAGTGAACTTCCAAAAGGAACTTAAAAAAATTATTATAATATTTTTTTTAAATGCTCAAAAGTTTATTTTTCCAATTGAAATTTGACAAATTATACTAAATTGAGTAGGCATTGTAAGAAAAGTTTTTTGGGCTTGGCAAGAGGTTGCTTCTTCAGCACGTTTAAAGTTTTACTTTGGCTTAGCCGGTGAGTCCAGCTAGAGGTGATTGTACCAATCCCAAAGGTGATTGCTGGCCACCGAGTGCACCAGTCACTGACGGCAGTGCACCTCCAGCCAATCCACCAGTTAATCCACCGGCAGCTGATGTCAATAGGGGAGCAACTGCTCCAGTTGCTCCACCCAAGTCAGGGAGGCCAGGACGAGCTTCGATGGTGCCCAGGTAGCAGGCTAAAACGAAAATTAGAAGAAGGTATAAATATAAGAGAAAGAATATCCTTCTGATCAAAGGAGGACTACACACCGCACACAATGAGGGCCACGACAACGATCGATTTGTTGAACATTTTTGTACGGTTTGGTTGTATCGACTAACTTGACCCAACTGAATCGGCACTGATTTATATAGTAGCCGACCGTTGAATTTTCGTGAGCCCAGCTCACGTATTTGTTATCATTATCTAGAGCGTGCTCTACGATATAGCTAGGGGTCGGTCGGAAAAGTACGTCATTTCAGAAGTCTTAGACAGTTTACAGGTCTTAAAATTGCACAGCAAAAAGTAAATTGTTTGAAATTTCAAAAGCTTTAAGAAACATATTAAAGAAAGAGAAATTATAAATAAATAAATAGTTCGTTTTTGGTGGCTGTCCCTGACTTACTTTTTCTTTTTGTGTAATTAACTAAAAATTATTGCACTTACAGTTAATCATGAACTTGTCAGGAACCCATTTGTGACCCCCCCCTTGCAGGGTGCTCATCATTTTTACTTTTTATTTACATTCTATTTTAGCGAATTGTTTTTCATAATAATTCGATATTCGCTTCTCGGCACGTTCCAGCTAAATAATTACCAATTTACGCTGTCGAAGGGAGAGGGGAGGGGGCGTGGAATGACATGTAAATACATAATTAAAATTCCACATTCTTGTTTTTCTGTTGGCTTGTAACAGCAACCATTAAATAATTTCCCCAGCACTCGATGCTTGTTATCAGAGCTAATCGGATGTCTGTTTTTATAGGGTTCGATTTATTCATCGTTTTTATTGAATCACATTTTACATATCTCCCAATTAATTGAAATAAGTTAAACTATTTTTGGTTGCAAATAAATGAATTATCATTGCTGATACTCTTTTATCCGATAATCGGTTCGTTAAGAGGAGGATGTAATTAAATGTTTAAGTAAAGTGAGCTTAATTTGTGATTTCAGGATTGGTTTAACTTCTTATTTTTGTCTATCTTAACTTATAAACTTAAGTCTTGTATTTTCCCAAAAACTACTTTTCGAAGTCCCAAAGAAACCAATAATTTTGGTGCAAATGCAAAATTTCATTAATGAACACATTTCAAGTCGCATGGCCTCGAAAAGTTTTCTGTTTTTTGTTTTGTGTGTTTGAGCAACTGTTCTTGAAGTTGTCCAAGATTACGTGACCGGTTGTTAATCGAATGCAAGTGCAATGCATCCGGTTGGTATGCTCGTCGTAGTACATATTTTAAAAGAGTTCAACAAGTGTAAGCCACTTCCGGAATCGGAATTCACATTCACAATCACAATTCAGAATCCGAAGACATCTTCGATGATGGGTAAAGAGGGGCAAAAAAAGTGGAGAATGAAGCCGAGGAATGAAAGTGAGAGTGAGTGGCAACAGCTGGCTGGTGGCTCATCGAGATTGGAATCGGCTGAAGACGCGATAAGTTAATCGGCAATCGCACGTACAGAGCACACGTTTCCGGACGTGGTGCCAGTGCACATCGATATAAAACTGGACCATCTGAGCACTCAGAAAATCAGTTCAATTAGCCAAATTTATAGAGCAGTACGCCCAGTTCCAGCAGTCCCAGCCAGTTGCAGCTACACCATCATCATCATCATCATCATCCTCATCGACCAAAGGCTTCCTCCATTCAGGGCTAATTAAGGAAACGGAAAGGAGAGCAGAGCAGCACGTCGACAATGCTGCCGTCACGTAAACATTTAATTGCCTTCGTTGTGGTGACAACATTAGGTAATTAGTGCTGGCTCACATGACCTTAGCTTGGATGCTAATTTCTCGCTCGTTTCAGTATGCTTAACAGTGGGCCAGGAGTCGTCGTTTCTGGCCACGATCACCAGTTCAAACAATCAACTACAGTCAGCTAATGGAACTAGCTTGAATGAAACAATTACGATTAATATTAGCGAAATAATTGCAGCTGCCGAGGCGGCATCAAATGCCACAGAATCCTCGTCTAGTACTACGGCAGGCACTACAGAAGTCACATCAACTTCAACGGAAACTTCTATATCATCCACAACCACAGCTACATCAGCAGCATCTACATCAACTACACCTACATCAACTACAGCTACATCTACAACAGCGCCAGCCAGTTCAACGACCACACAAGCAACTGTTACCTCATCCACAGACACAACCACAAGCACACAATCAACAACAACGACTGTGGCAGACACAACCACAACAACAAGTACTCCTACTACAACGCAATCTTCCACAACGCTATTACAAACAACAACTACACAAGCTCCAACAACGACAACACAAGCTTCTACAACAACACAGCAGCCTGCCACCACAACTATCGCTGCTACCACCACTCCCCAAGTCTCAACAACAACCACTCAGACTTCAACAATAACCACACCATCTACAACTACACCATTGTCCACCACAAGCAGTACACAAACATCCACAACAAGCACACCCCAATCTACAACAACTGCTACTGAAAGTTCAACAACAACAGCTACTGAAACTTCAACAACAACAGCACAATCAACAACTCAAACTTCAACCACACTATCTACTTCAACAACACCACAATCCACTTCCACAACACCACAATCTACTTCCACAACACGACAGTCTACTTCCACAACACCACAATCTACTTCAACAACAACACAATCTACTTCCACAACAGCTGCATCTACACAAACTTCAACAACAGAAACTCAATCCACATCCACAACATCAGAAACTTCTACAACAACACTACAATCTACAACTCAAACTTCAACAACACCACTATCTACTTCCACAACATCACAAATTTCAACAACAACACCACAATCTACATCTACAACCACTCAAACTTTAACAACAACTCCTCAGCCCACAACAACAACCACTATAGCAGCAACAACCAGCACTGAAACTTCAACAAAACTTGCAGATAGCACCACCATTAGTTCCACAACACTTGCCGATAGCACTAGTAGTTCAACAAAAACCACGAGCACAACACCAATTGCTTACACCGTTTACACCGTAGAACCCTATCCAAACATTTATGGTCGATCGAATGAGATTGTTAAGCCCCAGAGGAAATTGCGAAAGGGTCGCAAGGGACGTAGAGGCAGGAGGCCACGTCGTCGCACCACCTTGGCACCACTGACATCTAGCACCACCACCACCACAACAACAACGACAACAGAAAGGAGCACGCTAAGTGGGTTCGAGGATTTCAGCGAGGACTATGAAGATCTTGTACTAAATTCGAATACTGTACTGGAACCATTTCCCCAGTTGCCTCTCGATCTTGGAAATATCAACAATAACAGGATCCCCAACTAAAAAATCGTTTTCATAATCCCCTCCAGGAGACTGAGACCAATAACTGGAGTCCCACGCTTGTTTCGCATCCCATAAGTTTAGTTTATTAATTCATATTTAATACAAATATATATTATAGAATGCAATTTTCATGTCGCATTTTCAAATGCAGAAATATTTGTGTGCAGATAACAGAGAACTGGCAAAAGTTGTGGCCAGCAGCTGTCTTATCGGAAAGCGTGTTGACACCTAAGTTGAAAACAAAGTGCCAGAAAATCATATCAACTATTTGATAGTAAGAGCAAAGCGCATTTGTAAAAATACTTGATTATTTGTATAACACTAGTGAAGTTTAGGTCTTCAATTTTTCGAAATCTTTCAGTAAATGAAGATCACCGATTCTCTGATTGTCTAATTAAAGTTGTAACTGTTAGAGTTACAGTTCGATTATCAATTTCTTTGTATGCCAAAGAGATCGAAAAAGCGTTTATACACCAGGCATTCATGTTGGAGCATTCATTATTTTCTCTCAGCCTATGTGCACCCTCAATGTTTTTGCCTAGACTTTCCATTTTATGCAACATATTTTGCTGTAGAAAATCTCCATTCAACCGAAGGAGATAATTATTTTTGTGCTGCAAAAAGGCTCTGACAACTCAAGAGCAATACATTCCAATCTGGTGAGCCTCATTAACGTGTGGCAAGTTTGTGGAAGCAAAATGGGGGTAGGCGAAAATGGTAACAGAAACTCTGGAATACTCTCAAACTGAAAGGAAAACAGGGGAGAGAAACGAGAAACGAGAAACTCATAAAACACAAACGGACAAACAGGCAAATAAACAGTTGGTGTGCAATTAATTTGGCAAACTGTTTGCCCAACACAAACTCACACATACACACAACGCACACATACACACACACATATGTATTGCAGAGTCAAAGGCGGCTCCCCTACTCGGGTTTTTGGTTTCCATGTGCATGAGGCTCACTAAACAAATACAATTTAACTTCCACTTTCAACACATCAGCAAAAACAAGCCGGGCAACACCAGGCACCACCACCCACCAGATAATGGTCGAGTCAATTAGCAGCGCCTGCTTTTCGAGTCGCAAGCCAGCGCATTAAAATCTTGGCGAACATTGCCAAAGTCCCCCAGAAGTCTTTACTAAATAACTTCCAGACTAATCAAAGTGACAGCTGACCAGGGGCCAGACGATTGCCATACACTGGGCGAGAAAAGTGTGTACCTACAACTTCTGTCTTAAAAAGTAAATCTTTCTTGGAATCATCGATCATTTTGAAAAGTTGGTCAATGGAAGTTTTGTTTGTAAACAAAAGTTAAACATATGATTTGTATAATGAAATCTTAAGCTACGATGGAAATAATCCATTAAGCTCTTATAATTCCCAACTGGTTCAGACTGGTTTCTATTAGTAAAGTGTGGAACTTGGAAGACCCACTTAAATTTGGAACTTCCTTTTTATGTGGTTGTAAAAAATCTCTTCTTAGTGATAACTTTAATCTTAAGAAAGAACAATTTCTCACAGTGTTGGCCGAGCATTGAACCCAGTCGAAGCCCAGTATCGCAGAAGGCCCAAATATGCCGCGAGCTTGATAGATTGCTCAACCAATATGCACGTGCTTATCATGGCAGGGGCAAAGGCAGGCAGCACGTGCTTCCAGATGCAGTGGCTCGGATTTTCGGGTTATAAGTAGCCAGACCATCTGTTTATGACCAAACAGCAACCGAAGTTTGGACTCCCAACAACCGAAAGCCAAGAGACAATGCTGAGATTTGGACAACAACTAATGCTGCTGGCAATGGCCTGTTTGGGTGAGTTTTAACAAGGCAACAAAAATGGTACAATAGCTCATAACTCTGTCATATTTTTCGGGATAAAAAAAAAAAAATTAAAAACAAAAACAACAAAAAATTCGGAAAACCACAGCTATGCAGACGGCTCACGGATGGTTTCTGCCCAAGCTGGCGGCGAAACTAGAAGCTAAGGAGGATTGGTTCGAGGCCAAAAAGCAAAAGGAGCTGCTTAAGAAGCTGGATTTCCTCAATTTGTTCACCGAAAAGGAGGAGGCCAAGCTTGAGAAGAAAGAGGACGAATGGGAGAAGTTCAAGCAGTGGTGGGACGAGAAGAAGGAGAAGGAGTTGTCCTTCTTTGAGACCAAAAAGGAAAAGGAGCTGGCCTTTTTCGAGGGCAAGCTGTCCAAGTTAACGGGCAAAAAGAGCAAGTCCAAGAAGACTACGCTGAAGCCTTGCAGCTATAGCTATCAGGACGAAGTCACCGCTAAGTATTATTCGGAAGAGGTAACCGAGGCGGCGGAGTACGAGGAATCCGAAGAAGTCACTGAAAAACCCTGTCGCAAATGCTACGAACCTAAAAGCTACGCCCGGCCATCCTATTCAGTGCCCACAATTTACGATGTGAGGGACGATTCGGCGGAGGGCGTACGCTACTTTACCTGAAAGGACCCAACTAATTGGCTCGGATGGATGGATGGACGGATATTTATTTATTGCATTTTCTCTGGCCATCATCATCGTGTGTCCCTTTTTCTCTCGCTTTCTTTCTCTTTTTTTTTGTACATAATTACATTTTTAATAAATATAATTAAAATTCACATAGCTGAACGCCCTCGTCGTAGCTTGGTTTCAGGTTCGGTTTTTGATATTGGGTTTTGGGTTTGTTGCTGCCGCCTGTCTTCAGCCCGACTCGCATATCATTTGCATATAAATTGAATTCCCCGCTTCAGTTCAGTTCGGTTTGGTTTGGTTTCTTGGCTAGGATTCGTGTAGACAGCCAATATTTTATACATTTTATGTTCGCACTTGGGTGTGAGGTGTGATGTGTGATATGTATGTGTGTGTGTGTATGTTTCTATATATCTATGTGTGGTTTTGATCCATTATACCGCATACCAAAAACAGGCACTAGCTTTCTATATCCACATCCGTATTTGCGTCCTGTCAGCGACACTTCATCCAAACTGTCAGCTGGTGGCTCAGTGACACATTGCGCCCATTATTTGCATAGAAGGGGGGGGCAGATATGGGTTTGGGATCATCGAGTGCGAGTGTCTTTGGAGCGGAGCAGCCGCACACAAAGTGGTTTAGCCTGTCACTGCAGGTGAGATTGCAGAACGAACTGAGGGAAACTTAAGGCTGCGGACAGCGGTGGATCAGCTTGGGGTACCACTAGATATACTTTTTGGTTCCTACTACAAATTCGAGCTGTCGTGTTTTTACTAGCAGCTACTTTGTCGTTCTAATTGAACCTTGTCATGTTTGATTAAGTCCAATCTGCAATCTACTTATACGCATCAGGCATTTCCATTAATTTCAACTCAATTCCATTTCAAAGAATTTCGTTTAATAGGTTTTAATTTTAGTTTATTCATATATAGATATGTATATATATGTTAAACCAGAGATTGAAATTGTAAACATTACCATTTATGTAAACATTTGTGCGAGTTAACACGTAAGTTTTTGGCGTTTGCATTTTCCGCTAGAGAGAGGGGGGGGGAAAAAGTCAAAAATTATGCTGCAATAAGCACTTTCGTTTTCATTTTATGTATGCATGTTTGTGCGAATGTAGAAATTTTAGCCGACTCCGGCAATCTTTGTTGTTTTTCGTTTATGCATTGCAAAATATTTCTGACTGCCATTAAATACCCATTTTAACCTCATCGTGATATAGTTTTAATTCAGCATTTTGCAAACATAATTCCTAACATTTAAAACGAGGTTTTTGCAATAGCGCAGCGCATTACTACTAGCTATTGAAATTATCCCACTTTTCCGCCAATTTCCCCCAGCCATTTTTGGGAAAACCCCCCCACAAACATATATCTGTCAAACTGTTGTGAATGTTCGTGTACCATCTATATACATACAGATATATTTGGAATATTCGTTGCACTGACATGAAAATGCTTTTCCAGCTGTCAATGGGGAACATTTGGCTGAATCGGGGGGGAGGGCGGTTGGTTATGGGGAAAATCCATTGCAACATTTGCAAAACCGAAAAATTGCGGAGTATTCCATACGCATACATCCTCCTTACCACCACCAGCAGTAGCAGCAGCAGCAGCAGCTAATGGTAATCATAATAATAATTCGGGTTTTTGTTTGTTTTTCGCTTCCTGTTGCTGAGGCAGCAAACATTTTTCGGGCCAAAAGCATTTCATGGTTTGTAAGCACACACACTCACCTTTTAGTATATTAGAGTGTAAGTGTGTGTTTGCGTGTGTTTGTGTTTGTATGTGTGCACTGTTCAGTTGTGTGTGTGTGTGTGTGTAACTGTGTGAAACAAGAGTGTGTGTTTGCATTGGCGGATTCACCTCGGAAATTTTGTGGCATGAATGTTGATTTGTCCATTGAGTCGTGGCATTGCACGTGCAATTAAAAATCCCTTGCATACTTCCCGGCGTAGCTCGCTTTCACATCGCCGCTTTCATAGCCGCCCTGGCTATCGGTCAAACAATTCATTGCACATTCTCGGCATATTTTTTGGGATTGTCTCCGTTTAGTTTTCGTTGTAAAGAAGCAATGTGGGGTAGATATAAGTTTAAATTTTTAAAAATGTTAATAAATAAATATAAAAAAATTACGCACAATTTTAAAAAATGTTGGCATTTTTCTGAGAAAATGTATTTAAATTTTAACGTTTATTTTATGGCAATTTAATTTTTCTTTGCAATGGCAATTTGTTAGTTTTAACAGACAGTTAACAGAATGTTAATGTTTAAATTTTAATATGACTTTGTTAATCGGATCTTTTTTGCTTCCCAGGGTACCAATAATTGTTAACTGGTTTTACCATAAAAGTCGCGACTTAGGCTAAGCGGGGATAGCACCCTATAAATCAGTCAAGTCATTTCCTGGTGAGTGTTTGCCTTAGTAAAGTGCCTTCAAGTAATCTAATGTTACCTCATTATATAGGTGATACCTGTACCCCCGGAGGAAGCCGTTCATTATGGCGTTGGATATATGACTATGCCTCTTAGACCATGAATGGACCATGGTAAGCAGGAATTCCACGTGAGTGACCAGTACTAGCAGCCAGTGGTGGTATGCATAGGACGAGCTTGGCTTGAAAGTTCAACTTCCTAGTCTTGTTACTACTAAGACTACACATATACTAGGCTACTAGACTTCCTAGTCTTGCAACAAATTTGAATTATACTAACTAGACTTCATACTGCGATTCTAGAATCTCCTTTCACTCGAATACCCAAAAACTGGATCTATCGATTTACTTACTAGATTTATTGGGGTTGCGTCTTCAGAGAGTTTCGCCTGTCCCATAGATAATCATTGTGAGGGGGAGAGAGAAACTATTATTATTATTTTCGAATTGCGATTATCGGGTGGCGGCAATCCTTTGGGAACTGACTTTGCTCGAGGTCTGGACTGGCTGGTGGTCAGCTCTTGTAATTGCAGCAGTGGACAAAAAGAGGAGAGCAAACTTTGTTTATCCTTTTGGCCGAAAAGTTTTCTTTTTTGGTCGTGGACTTCCAGCCATTTTCCCTCATCTCGCTCCCGCTCTCCTTTTGATAGCCCAATTTCTTTCATTGCCTGCCACAGTTACAGTTCAGCGACGAGGGGGTCAATCTTGTTAATTTCAGCTCTGCGGATGAAGCAGAAGCAGAAGCAGCAGCAGACAGCTTGCCTCTTAACCACGACGACCCCCAGAAACCGCCTCAACTCCCCAACCGATTGTATATATATATAGTATTTGGCCGACCATTTGTCTGTCTGTCTGCTTTTTGGGGTTATGCACGCATCGGGTGGCTGTTTTTGGGGGTTTTTCTTCTATTTTTTTTTTTGTTTAAGGGGATGGGGCTTTTGGCGTCCCGTAATCGCAATTAAGATAATCAAAAAAGTTTTGACAGTGGACTGTCAGAGCTTCGGAGGCTTCGTTTTTACTTTCGTCTCAGTCCCCAAAGTTTTGCCGTTCGTCTTACAGTAGAACTTCTTTAACTTGAAATTGTTTTGGAAAACAAAAAAGCCAAAGAAGATCAGTTACATAGAAGAAGAATTCTGATTTTCTTCTTAAATAACCTTTTTCTAAGCATAAACGGTTTAAGCTATAGAAAATCCATCTTAGCGCAGACCAACTGTATTCTTGTTTTCGATTTTCTTATGTTGCCGCAGTTGTTGATGCTTTTCTTTGCCTTCCATTGGCGTTTTCTCTGCTTTTGCTTTTGCTTTTGCCAAGCCGCAATATATGCTGCAAGTTTTTGCCTCCATTTGGTGGTACGACGTTTCCAAGTGCAAGAGCAAAATGATATCAACTTTTTGCTCTGGTCAAGACGGTTTTGGTTTTGGTTTTCGTTTCGTCTTGGTGAAGTTTTCAGGGTTGCCGGACCAAGGTTTTTTTTTTTTGCCAATGCATACTTTGCGTCGTCTATTATTTCAGGCCGCGTTTTTCTTCTTTTCTCCATTTTTATTTGCTCCGGAGTCGAAGTTGACGTCGTTGAGTTGAGAGAGGAGGCCTGCAGCTGAAGGCAAAGTTTTATTGCCTTGGATAGACGGAAATTGGTTTCCAGTTTATGAAGATGATAGTTATGCCCATCATCACTAACCCGATGATGATGATGATGTTGCTGCTGCTGCTGCTGCTGGTGCAGTTTCCAACATTTCCGTAACGATTCTAATCCAATCACATCAAGCGCGGATTAAAGCAGGTGGAAATCGCCACGGAAACGCCATTTAGTTGGCCAAACAAAGCAACATCCGATGTATGATGTGTGTGTGTGTGTCTGCGGATGTGTAAGAGGATATAAGGGCGGATGTGCCCAAGTGCGAGGGCCACAAAAAGGGAAAGTTGTAGGAGGAACTGACTGAAGAGGATGCCTTTCGACCCAACTCAAAAGGCCAAATGGAAACAGACAGGCGGCGAGACAATCCACAGACAGGCAAAACCCAGAACAGAGAAGAGGAAGCTTTGAATGTTTTTAAGGAAAAAGCAGACAATCGAATAAGCGATAAGGTTCTAGTAGATTCTTTACCTCAATAACATGAGGGAATATTCTTAAAAAGCAGTTAAAAAGTTAAAAAATATGATTAAAAAACAAAACTTTAAAATAATTAAAGAAAAGAACGCCAAGAAAATGTCCCATCAAAGTGGATGGTCGGTCCCCTCCACATCAGCAACAAAACATCTTCGTTTGGGGTCAGTCTCTGCACGTTTGCCGCATAATTTATGCAAACTAAAATTTCCACTTAAGCATTTCATTCCATCTCGGCGCAATCTTATCCGTCCCCTCATCCATCCGTTTTGTCCCATTCCGCTGGCAATTAAATGGAACACAAATTTCCCGTCCAAAGTCCAAAGACTTTGGATTACAGACGGACGGATTCGGAGAAGAGAGCAGACAGTACTTGGCATTATTTATGGCTTCCTTTTTGGCTCTTTGTTTGGTGGCTCGTAGCTCGTTGTTCTCGAGGAGTTTTCAGAATTTGCGATTTCGTTGGGGATTCGGTTTTTGGTTAGAGGGATTGTAATTGGGAATGGGAATGGGCTCTAAGGGGTTTGGGGTTGGGTTGTTGTGGTCGAAAATGAGTGCGGGGTTAAGGGGGATGCACAATCCAAATTGCAATTAATAAGGACCCTTAGCATACACAGCAAAAACTTAAGGTAAAAGGAACTCTGTTTTAAAAGAAAACAAAACTTACAATTCAATTATGTACGGAGTAATATTTTCTGGCTGAAAAGAATCCTTGGGAAAAGGAGAAAGTTTTCATTATTAGAAGTATTTTTTACTATATTTTTGACTTCAACAAACTTCATTGATATGGTTTTAAAAATCTTTTAAAAATGTAGTTTTCTCTTTTGATTTTCAACAATTTTTTAGTATTTTTAAAAAATATTTCTTGTGTAAGGGAAGAAGGGGAATGGGCGGGCAAACAAATCCTTAAACCATTCAGGCGAAGAAACCGCTTCGGTCAACAGGATTTTTTGGGCTTCTCCAGGCCACCGTTTCGATGGCTCAATTCGCTTTCATTTTCCATACTTTTCCACCCGCTTTTCATCCGCTTTCCATTTCCATTTTCGTTGGCAAACAAATTAAGCAAAGTTAATAACGAAATCTTGTTTTCAACATAAACAACAAATATGCAAATGACTTCATAACATTCAATGAGTGCACGAGACCGACTCCTCCGAAACATGCTGATGGAGCAGACAACTTCAGTGGGTGGTGGTGGGTGGTGATTTTCTGGGCAACCCGTGTAAATATGTACCGTTAGCAACAGGCAAAGGAGGTGGGGAGGGCTTTTGCCTCAGATCACTGCATAATTATCGAAATGAGAGCGAAAGGAAGAGCAATTTGCATAGATTTCAGACGTCCAGACCCTTCACAATGAGGGGGGTCATCTCAAGAGCAGAAACTGTTCTCCATAACAAAGTCGAAAGTCGTTGGGGGAAATGCTATAGTAGTTGGTTTTTATAATCAGTGAAATGAAAACGATTGTTTTTCCATTACGAAGGAGAGAAGAAATGATTTGAATAATATTTTAAACTTCAATTAAATGTAATTTTTAAAGCAACTTTAGTTAGGAAAAGCTCATTAATATTATTTTTGCAATTGTTAAGGGAAATCACTTTAGAGAAAACTCTTTGATTCCAGAGAGAGAGAGAGAGATTTCAGAGACACTATCGAATGGCCAATAGCTGCGATTGATGGAAAAAATGTATATTTTGTATGTCAGTCATATTATTTAAAATTTCGTTGATCCATACAAATATGAGAAAAATATTTATATTTGAGCGGATATTCTGCTGGGCCACCCCGAAACCCCCCTTTGAATAATCTGATTTAATCCAAATGGGAGGGGGGGTTTGGTGGGGTAACGGGGGTCCACAACGGTCCACAATTCCCTGTCCTCCTACCCCACGCCACACTCACTCAGTCAAGTGTAAAATTAAAAAATGTCAGCAGGAAATTCCTTTGGCGGATGCTTCAATGTTGCGCATTTCGTGTCACACACAATTCCCCGATATCCTGGTACCGCTGTGTCCTTTTACCAGCTACCACCAACCCACCATTCCACCATCATTCTGGATGCCTGTTTCTGGTTTTTTGTTGTTTTTCCTTTTTTGGACAAAAGTTGAGGCAATTAGCAGGCGGATTTGGCAGGTGGCCAACAAAAGGAAACTCTTCAAATGTCCACTCGAATTTACGCATGAAGTGAGTCATTCTTCCGGCGGTGCTTCCCACAAAAATCCACAACCTGCCACGGCTGGCTGGTTTAGGTAAGACCTGACCGTAAAAAAAGAGCCCACCCATAATATGTAGCAAATCTCGGCTATTTGTTAGAATTTCCTTTCGCCCATATAGATTTCTATTCTCTTTAGCCAGCGTGACGAATTTTCCGAAAGGACTTCTGCTGCCAGCACCAAAGCCACTCGACACTAATGTCAAAATTCAATTGAAATTTGCAAAGGCAACTGCAAGAAAAAAAAAAAAGGAGTCTGTGTTTGAGCAGCAAATGAAAACAAATAAAATTATGCAAATCGAGTTGAAAGTAAAAGCAAGTCAGCCAGACCCTGACTGGCCCCATATATCTCTCCACATACATGCTATATATACATATATATGTTCTGGGGAAAAATCCATGGGGATGATGACTATCTGGTCGGCATTCTTATCACATTACGTAGCAGGCCGCAGACTTTGTCTCAAATAACACAAAAAGTAAGTCGGGGAGGGGTTGGCATTGCATTCGAGGGTGGCATTTCCTTTTGGGGATGGACAATATACTAGTACATATATCCTATATATAGTATATATGTCGTCTTACATGAGATCCAAACAAGCGATAGCTCTGCTCGTCTCCCTTTCTTTTTTGTTTTCCCCTTTTTAATTTCCACAAGATTTTCAAATGCAAATCATGTCAATCGACTGACGAGGGCCCAAGCAGCGCATTCTTTATCGGATCGAAAGAAACCACTTTAGCAACCCACAAAGCCACGCCTATTATTAAGGCTTTAAGGGAATTATGTT